AACAACAGAAGTTGCTGGAAAAGTTCAGCAGGTCTGGCAGCATCTGTGGAAAGAAATCAGAGTTAACGTTTCGGGTCGAGTGAACCTTCCACAGAACTGAGGAAGTTCTGGTCCGGTTCTGAGGGAGGGTCACCGGACCCGAAACGTTAACTCTGATTTCTCTCCACAGATGCTGCCAGACCTGCTGAGCTTTTCCAGCAATTACCACTGTTTTGTTTCGGATTTACAGCATCTGCAGTTTTGTTTTTAATCTACTTGTAGTTTAAAAATGGGTGGCGTTTGTGTCAAATCTGTCTGCAGTTTGCGGGTAGGCTTCTCTCTGGGATGACAGTAACTGCACAGACTTGGGGTAGAGTCCTTTTTAATTTGGCCCTTTCCAATTTGGGAGCTCACTGAACCCTGTACAACCTCTTGGGTGTTTTCATGTAACAGCATGGGCTGTAGCAAAACCAGGACTGGATTTCATTGGGAGGCGAACTATCTAACTGAACATTCACACACACAAAATATCTCCAAGGGCTTCCCAGTGTGAAGACCAGCTCAGCTCCTGTTAGGGAGGCAGAAACAGCAGTCAGCTCTGTGCCTGGGGTTTCCCACACTCGTCAATGAGATAAATGACCAGTTAAATATGTCTCTGGCGATATCAGCTTGGGCAATGAATCTAATAGAGGGCACCAAGAGAAACGCACTCCCAGACCTTACGGCGGCGTTGGTTTTTCACTGAGTCCCATGCAAAGATCGGCATTTAAGATAAAATCATGAGGTGGAGCTGCCGGTGTCGAACTGGGGGGGGATAAGGTCAGAAGTCAGACGACACCAAGTTATAGTCCCACACAGGTTTACTTGAAATCACACAAGCTTTTGGAGCGCTGCTCCTTTGTCCGGAAGAAGCAGTGCTCAGAAAGCTTGTGATTTCAAATAAGCCTGCTGGACTATAACCTGGTGTCGTGTGATTTCTGCCTCAAGTAAAATTGACGTTTTATCAGATAATGGGAATAATTACTGCGCAACTGAAAAGAACCAGGGGAGAGAGGTAGAGTTTTCTTGTATATACACCGAGATGTTGCGATACAGAATATGCCACCTGAAAGGATGGTGGAGTCTCAATCAATAATGAGCTCCAAAAGAGAATTGGATAAACACCTGAAAAGCTGGAAAACATTTCAGAGTTATAAAGTAAAGTCCTCCCATTCTTACTAGACCATAAGGCTGCTCTCTCATTAGGGAGAGACAACTGGTGGTGGTTTAACCGGAGGGTTACTGTGCTTGGGGTGAGGGGAGAGTTTGAGAAGGAGAGCCAGTGAATCCCTACAGTGCAGACGGAGGCCATTCGGCCCACTGGGTCTACACCAACCCTCCGAAGAACGCCCCAGCCAATCCCCAGGACACCCGCATTTACCATGGCTAATCCATCTAGGATCTTGCGAGAAACTTCAGCCAGTGCAGGAATTGAACCCTCGCTGTTGGCATCAGAAAGCCGCCGACTGAGCTAAACCGACCCCCTTCCCCCTCCCCAGGACCAGAAGGCAGAGACAGTGGAGTGGAAGTAAGTGTGTTCATCCAGCTCTGCACCTTGTTAGCTCTAGTGGTGTTCTGATGTGGCATCAAATCTGTGCACACTGATCCTGAAAAGGCCAAATGTTGACAAAGATTTGCCAGAATGATTAGCTCCTAGCACTGAGTAACCACACTGTCCCTGGGGACCCTCGACAGTCCTCTGGCTGACTCCTGTCACCCCCGCAGCCTCCTCCCCTCAGAACCTCGAACGACTAACTGAACAGGCAAGTCCCGGTGACATTCAAAGATGTTGATGGCTTTCTGGTAAAGGCCCCAGCAATGTGTTTGCGGAAGAGAGGTACAACACTTGTCGCTAGCAAGTCGAGTGACGACACGTTAGGAAGTTGCTGTGGCTGCATTTCACCGCATCGTGTTTTAAAATAAAAAAGGGCTGGCCCGGCCAGCGACGCCCCCATCTCATAACGTGAGTGATAACTAAACCCAGCCCTTTCTAAGAACACGAGAGACAAGAACTGGGTTCAATCCGATAACGTCTGATGTTCTGCATTGATCCCACTTTCCCCTCGATTCTTTGAGACTCCAGCCTTTCCCAGTTTTAAGTTTACTCGACCACAGGGCATC